TTTTGTGTATGTGAGTGTGTGTGTGTTTGAATCTGTATGAGTGTGTGTGTATTTTTGTGTAAGTATTCTGTCTGTGTGTGTGAGTATGTGAGTCTGTGTGTTTGTTTGATTGAGTCTGCACGTGTGTGTGTGTGTGTGTGTGGGTGGTTGTGTGAGTGTGTAAGCCTGAGTGTGCATGTGTGTACGGCTGTTTGTTTGTTCGCGTGTGTGTGAGTGTATGTGGGGGTGTGTGGTGTGTCTGCGTGTCTTTGTGTGAGTGTGTGTCTGTGTGTTTGTTTGTGTGAGTCTGTATGTGTGCATGGGTGAGAATATGTGTGTGTGAGAGTGTGTGTGTGAATGTGGTTGTGCGTGTGAGTGTGTGTGTGTGTGTGTGTGTGTGTACGTGAGTCTTTATGAGTGTGTGTTTGTGTGTGTGTGCGTGCGTGTGAGTGTGTGTGTCTGCGTGTATGTGTGTGTATAGGAGTGAGTGTGTGTTTCTGTTTGTGTGTGAGTGTATATTTTGTGTGAGTCAGTGTGATTGTTTCTGTGTGTGTCTCTGTGTACGCGTCTTTATGTGTGTGTCTGTATCTGTGTGTGTGCGTCTTTATGTGTATGTGTCTGTGTTTGTCTGTATGTGTGTGTCTTTATGTGTATGTTTCTGTGTGTGTCTGTGTGTGTGCGTCTTTATGTGTATGTGTCTGTGTGTATCTGTGAGTGTGTGTCTTTATGTGTATGTGTCTGTGTGCATCTGTGTGTGTGCGTCTTTATGTATATATGTCTGTGTGTATCTGTGTGTGTGTGCATCTTTATGTGTATATGTGTCTGTATCTGTGTGTGTGCGTCTTTATGTGTATGTGTCTGTATCTGTGTGTGTGCGTCTTTATGTGTATGTGTCTGTGTTTGTCTGTATGTGTGTGTCTTTATGTGTATGTTTCTGTGTGTGTCTGTGTGTGTGCGTCTTTATGTGTATGTGTCTGTGTGTATCTGTGAGTGTGTGTCTTTATGTGTATGTGTCTGTGTGTATCTGTGTGTGTGCGTCTTTATGTATATATGTCTGTGTGTATCTGTGTGTGTGTGCATCTTTATGTGTATGTGTCTGTATCTGTGTGTGTGCGTCTTTATGTGTATGTGTCTGTGTGTGTCTGTATGAGTGCATCTTTATGTGTATGTGACTGAGTGTATGTTTGTGTGCGTCTTTATTTGTATGTGTCTGTATCTGTGTGGGAACGTCTATGTGTTTGAGGGGGGGAGGGGCTGTGTGTGCCTGTGAGAGAGAGAGAGACAGAGAGACAGAGAGGGGGGAGAAAGGGAAGGGTGGGGGAGGAGGAGAGAAATCGTCGATTTCTTTTTTAATTTTCATCCATGTGAAGAGTTCTAGATGTTATATGAAGCGGTTTTAATTTGTAAACCTCTGTGGACTAGACTCCGAACAGGATGACCTCTTTGACGTCACAATGACCCCTAACCTTACTCGAGAACCATGGGCATGGTGCCGTGCTGTCCAGTTGAAATCGCAAAGCCTATAAATTGTCCAGTCAGTGTTTAAGTTTTGTTTAGGGTGACCTTATTTAGGCCACATATGGCCTAAATAAGCTAAACCCCCCTCCCTTACCTTATTTAGGCCTCACCTGTGGCCTAAATAAGCTAAACCCCCCTCCCTTACCTTATTTAGGCCACACCTGT